GGCACGTGCAGTCATCCGCGAAATGTGGCAATACACACATAATACTTTGAAAAAATGCAAATTAGTGGACACTTAAGAAAACAGAATGCCAGCAGCCAAATAAATGAAGACAGTGTGATTTAAGAACGGTAAAATAACATAATAGGGAAATTGTCAATTTGTAATGGCTGTCTTGGAAATTTAAAAAAAAAATAAAATATTGACATCGAACGAAAAAATTTAAAGTTTTCAATTTAGTCTTTTCTAAAGAGAAATATTTTACTCTGAGCGAAATATGTAAACTAATCTGTGTAAAGTTTTCTTTAAAAGTCCATCGATTTCTTTAAAATTCCTCTAGGTGTATCGATGTTGTCCAAATGATATGCAGATCGTTATTTTCCTTAGCTTTCTAATCAAATTTGGAATGTCAATGAAGTATGACAGTGTTCTTAGGATAAGCATCTCACCCATTTGGGTTAAGGATGGTATCTATCATACTTAGCACTTATGAAAAAATATACTACATACAAACATAATGTTCTCGAATTTCTGCAACATATCAAAAATATAATTGGGTGGATTATTCTACAAAATTAAATATCTTTATAATTACCAAACCACTATAAAATAATAAAATTAAGTATTGTTTTAGTATACCTTGAGATTTTTGTGACATTTTTAGGTAGCTTATTTCTTTTCTTCCTCAAATAATTCGTTTACTCATTTTTGAAGCTCTATTCTGGCTGCGTTCAGCACAGAAAAGTTGGCCAGCCTAAGAAGTTTAAATCGTACCTAAACCTAAAATGAAAACATATTTGTTAGTTTTTCTTCTATTCTATAAAACAGTTTTCACTTTAAAGATATCAGCGAAAATTAAAGTGAAATTTTCGTAGTTTGTCTATTTAGACATAATTCCAGAAGATCACTAAAACCACTAAATAAAAACTAATACTTACAAGGCATTAAAAGAAACGTTGTACATTTCAGCTTCAGTACATTTCAACTTCAAAAGCATAAACTTGGCACCTGAAGTCGTCTAACCGTTAATCTGCAATTCTAAGTACAACCAAAACCACAATCATATCCTATAGAATCGAAACTCTATCGAAAATTATTAGTTTAGTTTACTTTCCATAACAAATTCAACATTTTTTCTTGCAACTCTGCAACATTGCACAAAAATGCTCAATAGTAGGCACTCATCGACTAATGTGCCCACTTTAGGCCCAAAAGAGGCTCTAACAACCCACTGATAAATCTGCAAATAAACCAAAAGATAACGGATCCAGTAGATAACAGCGAGGAATGCCTACGCTGCTGCATCAAAGCAAACTCGTTCAGCTAATTGTGTGTTAAATAAATCACTAATAACCACAACGGAATAGAAACACCGCAGGCACATACACACACATTCAAAGAGCAAACAACCAAAAATGGGAACAAACACCAAACAAAAAAAACGTTAACTTCGGCTGCACCGAAGCCAATATATCCTTCACAGGTGCATTTCTTTTACTAACTATGTGCTCAGTTTGTATGGAAGCTGTATGCTATAGTAATCCGAACTGAACAATTTTTTCGGAGATTATATTATTACCTTAAGCAGTAATCCATGTCAAATTTCATGAAGATACCACGTCAAATGCGAGAGTTTCCCATACAAGAACTTAATGCCGATCGTTCAGTTTGTTCAGCAGCTATATGTTTTAGTGAGCCGATCTGAACAATTTCTTTCAATATTACATTATTTCTAGACTCCGATCGTTGAGTTTGTACAGCAGCTATATGCTATAGCAAGCCGATCTGCCAACTTTCGTGAAGATACCACGTCAAATGCGAGAGTTTCCCATACAAGAACTTGATGCCGATCGTTCAGGTTGTTCAGCAACTATATGTTATAGTGATCCGATATCAGCAGTACCGACAAATGAGCAGCTTCTTGAAGAGAAAATGACATTTGCAAAATTTCAAAACCATCTTAAAAACAGAGGGACTAGTTTTTATATATAAAGACAGGCGGACAAACGGACATGGCTAAATCGACTCAGCTCAACATACTGATCATTTATATACATATATACTTTACAGGGTGTCCGACGCTTCCTTCTGGCTGTTACAAACTTCGTGGCAAACGTAATATACCCTGTTCAGGGTATATTAATCAAGTATTCGCAGACACATACATTTCAGTATGCATTGTAGATGTGTATGTGTGTTGCGCCACAAGATTCCAATTAATAAATACATAAATAAACAACACGCACCAAATGCGGTCGGTTAACAATTCGTGTCTGTCTGGCGCTGTTGTTATTCTTGCCACTGACGTTGCTTTTGACACAGATGATGTTATTGCCACCAATGTTATTGTTGTAACTGGCTTTGTTGTTGCTACCACTGACCATGTTGTTGTGTCGCGCCACCAAGCCGACGGCGGACAGTACAACAGCAACAACGCCAAAACAGCACGCACATTGTCAACACACAATAACGACAACAACAACAAAGCGTGACAGTGGCAAAAACATCAAATCACAGTTTTGCGACAAAGCTGCTGGCAGTGCAAAGCGGATGCAGGTTCAAGTCTATGCGCATGCGCGTGTGTGCGTTAGTTGGGCAAGAGGCAAACCTAATTTTTTTTGGAAGTTCGTTGTTTTTTTCCAATATTTGTGTGCGGCTTTACGGTAGCGGCGTTTCTGGAAATTGCGCCACGATTCGTTGCCAATTAAAATCCTGTCGCTGCTAATACCAGAAGCGACTTACTTGCCTCTGTTGCCGTTGTTGTTTGCTGTGAGTTGATTTTTAATTTTTTTTTTTTATGGTTTATATTTATTTTCTTTATTTTTATAGTCTGCGGCAACTAGAAATGGGCTAAAGTAGGCAGTTTATGAGTCCATTGATTTGTGTGTGTGTGTGTGTTTGTATCTTCTTTCTCTGGGTGTATACTACATACATATATACGCTGAAACACTTGGCATTATTTCATATACAAATATTCCTAGAAGTCTGCGAAGCATCGTAAATATTGTAAGCCCTTTTCAAGGTTTAAAGTTGCTCAGCTTAGTTAGAAGGAATAGTGAAGACACAATTTTTTTCTTTCGCTTTAACTTTTTTCTACACGCTAAGCATTGTGGTCTTAGCAGCGAAGTAGTCTTTCATCTAAAATGCAGGCGAAGCCAAATAATGCTTACTGCAATAGTCCTTGCCTTAGGCATATTTGCCGCGCGTATTGACATTTGCCGGCATTCTTCCAAGCGGCTTTATGGCTCTGACTTGATTTGCTGTTTAATGTGCGTCAAGTGTTGTGGTCCAACAACAAAGCGAGCAGTGAAGAAAGGTGGAAAATACTTCGGCAATGGCTTCATCAACTATTATGTGTGTAGTGAAATACGAGGGTGCTTTGATAAGTCCGTGTCTCTAGAGACTTTTTGTTCTCCCTTCAAATACAACTGTCATATTTTAGTCAATGTTCACATAGTAGAGTAGTAGTCTTTTGTGAGACGCAAGGTAAAATAGTATTGTAAATATTAATGAATCTGTTTTTTTACTATTTACTCGTTGGTTTGTGTCTTTACTGTGATCTTCAGTAAATGATCACAACACTCGAAAATATTTCTGAATAAAAATATTTTACTCTTTAGCGTTACTAACGCAGGAAAAAATTTCGTTTTTATTTTTAAGCCGAGACACACACCCAAAATCTTTCAATGAAAACAAGCAAGACTTGAATCTAATCACTATGAGTGCCAAATTATAACTTAACGTTTTTATAACTTAAAGGATTATATTCACTTCCAAGCCAGGAAACGCGTTTTTGAAATTTTTTTTGAAGCATGTTGTTTAATGAAAAAGTGTGCATTTAACGACCATAATATTATATAATGCTTAAAAAAAAGTTTAGATTCACCTGAGCTCATGGCCGATCCACAGGATAACTTTTGGCTACAAAGGTGTTTTTTGTGTAAACATTTACAATTCAGATTGAATAAAAAAAAGAAATTAATATCAAAAATCATTACCTGTTATATATGCAGATATATTTTTTTTAATTTCAAACCGGTTCATTTACCCTTTTCGGAATTATTTTAAGTTAAAAAATTCGTACAAACACGGATGAGCTAGAGATATTCGTAAAATATTTTCATATATGTTACACGTTATACGATTTGCCATGCCCTCCACTAAAATATCAAAAAAAGACACTGATTTATCAGATTGATCCTACATCAGCCACAAAAACTTTAAATGTGTTCCTATGTATGTACACATGCAGTCAGCTTCCGCAAACGCCATACATTCGTTGACTTCATTGTCAGCATCTCAAAAACTGCGTCGTACTAATTTTAGCATAACTTATGCGCTTGAAGTTCTAAAGTCCAAACATGTGCCAGCACTTTGGCACTTCTCGCAGCAAAAGCTCAATATTTATACTCCCCACTTAAGTATTTACGACCCTTCCCGCCGCACTTCTCCAGTGAGTTCTGTTCAATCTCCACTCGCTTGTGCGCTCTTATAGCTGACTCTTGGCTGCACTGCTCTCGTTTACAAATATGGCCAGCCACGCACATTTCACTTGCCATTCAAGCCGAGTTAATTTATGTTAATTGCTGCAATGGCAACATGTAATTTTCCTACAACTGCTCCACCTGCAATGCATAGTAATGTCTTAAGCTTGCGCTCCACTGCGCCATAAGCCTTCAGCTACAATGCCTTAATATTGCAATTGTTGTAATTGTTCTTGGTGAATGTGACCATGGTGCCGCTGGTGCATGTGTACAACAGTCGCTTTACCATTTTTAGACATTTTCCTGTCAGCATCTCGTTTATTACATTCACCGCGATTTTCTTAAGTGAAATCGTTTTTATTTGCCCAGCATTTTTCCCTTGCAGCCACACACCAACAAAGCCACATATACATACATGCTTGTTTTTATGGCATTATTTCTTACATTTTTAACTCCGTTTAAATACATTTGTTAGTTCCTTTCATTAACTTTGTTAATATTGTTGTTGTTTTATTGCAGAGCACTCCGGTTGGCACGACGATCTTCCGTCATATTCAGGCGCTGGACAAGGATGCTGGTGTTAATGGGCTCGTCGAGTATTTTATTGTTGAGGGCAACACAAACACAACGGAAGATGAGACAATGACAATTGCCGATGGTTATGGGACATTTGCAATTTCCTTTCCCCATCAAGGGCAGGTGAGTGTCAGAAAATTATACAAATCGAATGTACAAATCGATACAAGTATATGCTTTTCTTGTTGCAAGCGTTTATTTCTTGTGTATGTACGTTACCTGTAGAAATGGTCTGAATTTATAATTTAAAATGAATACTTAGAAGTTTTATGCACATGTAATAACATATGCCAATTATGTACTGGAAACTCCTTTTAGAATCCTAGAAAACTTATTATGAAACATTTGTTTTCAGCGATCATTCTTTCAGGATTTTGGAGTAAGTAATAATCACTTGGGGCCAGTTTCGGAGAAAATAAAAGCGTTTCCAAGGAGAATTCGATCTAAGTTTCAAATTATCTGGCACTTCATGCCTAATTATTACATGGTGATATTACAAAATTTCGAAATTAGTTCTATGATTAAATCAAGTACAGAAAAGTGAATGTCCACAATAGCAGGGCAGGCATACTAGTCTTGAACTCATTAACAGTGCTTTCAGGGTTGTTCAAGGAGTGATTAACATCGTTATTAATAGCATCGAGTATCTTATTGTCAAAAACAATATTTTTATAAAGAAAGTTAACCTATTCGGCTACCACAAAAAGTATGGATATTAATCTACAAAATTTAAATCAGTAAACGATCGTGTAATTAATCCAAAATGATCGCAAAAATTATGTATACATAATAGGGTGAACTTCGATTTTAATTATTTTTTGACCCAACTTAATGTATAGAAAAAATTTTTTAAATATCAAACATTCTATTAAGACTTTTGAATAACCGCTTTTAAGAAAAAGGAAAGTTCCAAGTTTTGTCATTAGTAATGTTTTATATTAACATATGTTCTACTGTGGGCAAAAAATAGTAAGATTTTTTAATTTAAATTTTTTGCGTGCGAAATCAAATTTCTGCTGCCAAAACGTTCAGAATGTTGGAAATGACCTTCGATGATAATTATTTTATGCGAGCAAGTGGGGTCAGGAAAGCGTTGACGGCGAATCACGTCTAGGACGGCCAACAACATCAGCTGATGATCAACACGTCAATAAAAAAAAAGGAATTGGTGATTGAGAATCGACGATTAACAGTCAGAGATCTTTCTAGCACCGTAGGAATATGGGAAGAGGCAGTGAAAGCCATTTTGAAAGGTCATTTGGGCGTAAAAAAAGTGAAAGCACGATTGGTTCCAAAATCACTTAATTTTTCCGAAAATCAACGTCGCGTTAAAGTCTGTGAAACAATGCTTTCCGACTAGAACGATGGCAAGAAACGTATTATTACTGGCGATGAGTCATGGATCTATGCTTACGATTCGGAAACAGACAATCAATCGGCCGAATGTCAAGGCAATGGTGAGCCGAAGCAAAAAAAAAAAAACCTCAAAGTAGGTCAAAAATCAAGGTTATGTTGACAGTTTTTTTCGATTATCGAGGTATACTGTAATCCAAATGCCAAACTGTCAGCAGACAATACTATTTGAGCGTTATTCGCGATTTGCGCGAAGCTATGCGTTAAAATTGGCCGTAATTATGGCCGGAAATTCTTGGGTTTTGCATAACGATAATGCACTGTCGCATACTTCACTGATTCTACTTGAGTTTTTCGCCAAATTTTCAAATATCGTGCCGCAAACTCCGTCTCCTGCTGACTTTGCGCCGTGTAAATCTGGGAATCCATTTTAAGTCAATTGAAGATATCAAATTAAGAATTTAAAAATTATGAACAAAGTCTTACTATTTTTTGCCCATTGTAATATATACACCTTCTTACATTCACTGATCAAAAGTCTTTTATTTACACAACATCAATGAATCACTTTTTAGTAAAATCATTTCCATATTAGTAGATATGTATTGCCTTAGAATCAATATTGACATTTCCAAACTCAAATCACAATAATAGTAATGGTAATATAATATGAAGCAAATATAAAGATCTCGAATATTTACGATCAATAAAAGCATATTAACAGCAAATTATTTAGAACTAAAAACCAAACCCTTCTGAGATAAGCCCAAATGCAGCACTGTGGAGGGTAATTCTATTTAAATGCAGGCAATAAATCTTGTCACATTTGTTTCGATGAATTCTTGAACGAAAAGCAAAAGCAAACAGCAGCAAACAACAATAGCAACACATATACATATATACCTGTAAAAAATAAGTAAACAAATAATTGTATATACACGCATATGTATATATTGGACGTACCTTTTTTGAGTCGTGTTGCGTTGGTGGCCAATGATTTAGCGAATTTATCTACAACTCTGATAGACAATGTGCGCATGTTGTTGTTGCTTAAGCTGCTGCATATATCATAGTTGCCTGCGCAAATGTGTACTCACATATATGTATATGCATATACAATGTTGGCCTTCCACTGTCAGTCATTGTTAGTAATCGATGCAATCAATCAAATTGCATACCAAAATCACTTAGAGATATGTGTATAAAAACAAATATTTAATAAAGTCAGAGTAAAGATATTACACACCATGCAACACACCTCAAACGCATAGATTGATACATTTTTCATCCGTCAGTTTTTAATATACATACAAAAAAAAGTAATATAAACCAAATAATGCGCTTTTAATGAAAAAATAACAAATACACATTTACATATTTTTCTTCGCAGGTGACTGTCGCCAAAACGCTGGATTACGAGAAGGTGCAACGCTATTATCTAACAATCGTCGCAGCGGTAAGTTGACTTGACTATAATAATATCCGATAAACATGGCGCCACAAATATACATACAAACTTGTAAACAGTGAGGTTAAGTGAAATTTATAAAATACTGACGGCGAAACATTGGTATTGACACATAACTAGCGTAGCAGAAGAACGCACAGACGCATATATATAGCTAGAAAAACACAATCTTAAAGCTTCAAAAGAAAATATTTACTATGTAACCATCATTTCTAGTTACATATGTGAATAAATTCATACTTTTCTTGTTGAACACCTAAAGTCAGTGCGCAACTTTCTTTTTGTGCCATTCTTTCACCAGTTTCCCCCGTAAGCATTCACTTACTGCACTCCTTGCTAGCACTCAAAGATTTTTCACCACTTTCTATTTTCGTTGCAACTCTGTAGTGCACACGGAGACAGCCACGCTGCGCGCTTGCAGCAGGAATTCATAAATCGCTGGCTGTTGGAATTTCAGTGCTTCACTGCTCCACGTTGCAGCACATTGTATATGAGGCTCTTGCAATTTAATAGCGACAGCTTAGACTGTGAAGCCAGCGGTGAGCCAGTAAACCAAACACAGCATTTCACAAGATCACACAAAAGTACATGGAGGATTGCAGAAGTCTCTCTCGCCGATACTTGTAATTTTACAAGCAACTTTTCTTGCCTCTAGAGTTTATAACACCGCATTGCTGTAAGAATGTCTTAAAGCATAACATAAAAGTGTAGAATGCAAACAGCTCCTTTGTTTTGTGCAGAATAAACAGCATTGCAGCTATGATTAATTTATTAGTAAAAGTCTCAGAAGAAATATTTAAAGGAAACTACTTTTGAGGTAATTGCAATATAATAAAATTTGCCATCGTACAATACATAAAAGCTGTTGACGAATCGCTGAACATGAGCAACAAATTGCTCTCAAATGTTCAGATAATAAAACAAATTGTAGTACACTAAAAACTAATTTCGAATAAACTTGTGCAAATAACACAATCGCCAATACTTACTTATAATAAATAGATGGTCTTTAAAATATATACGAGTAATGAATACCCAATGAGCCATCCCCTGCAAAGATCTTTTGACTTAGCTGCTGCTTTCTTTTGCAGTGAACGCCTAAATTATACTCGTGACAGAAAAGTGTTAAAGATTTAAGTTATTTTCCTTACGACTGCCGAAAAGTAGTCTTTGGAAAAATGCTTTAAGGGGTTACATGGTTTTCCTTGGGTAAAAATTAGCCTTCTTTCCTCAATTTTTTTCTCATATAAAATGTTAAATATTTTATTAGGATTTTTATTGCTATAAACACACAATTAACAAAGAAATTCTGAAATTAAGAAAAAAGAAACATATTTTAAACTCTACTATGGCGACGTCATTCCGATGGCCCAGTAATAAAAATGAGCTCGCGTTTTAGTTAAACCCTTAACTTAGAACTTGGACAAAGTAAAAAACTGATAATTTAATTTTTGGTAGACATTCTCAAAAAAAAAATTGAAATTTCAGTGAAAATTTCGCAATCTTTTTTTTTTTAATAGTCATAATCGAAAAAATATTCATCCAAGTTTTTGGGATTTGTATCTCAAAGACACTTTAATATTTTCAAATAGTTGTTTAATAATTTTATTAAGCACAAAATTGCCTTATACTAAACTATTTTCTCCTAAAATGATCCGCATTTAAACAAACCCGGCATGCTGGCATTCGGTAGTCATTAGAATCGTCCAATAATATGCACACTTAAGTGGCAAATATCGACAAAAATGGAACACTAATCTGCCAACATCGCCGACTAAGACGCCTTATATGAGCCGGTATTATATAATATAACACAACTTAAGACAGAAGTTGGAGTATGTGACAGCAAGGCGTTAGCGGCGATGGCAACGCGGCATTTTATGATATCGAAGGAATTTGAATGACAGCAACGAATGGAATTTAATTCAATTTATTATTTTTTTTTTATAAGGACAAGCAACTTCAGAGCCTATTACGAGTAGATGAGCAGAATGCCACTCGAGAACTCACGAAGAGTCACGTGACAGTCGTTTTATGAAAACTGCCACTGGTAACGAAAATCATTTGGGCGCTGAAGCTGGTCAAGTGGCAAGTGCAGCGTGCTTCGAATGGCAGTGGTATGCGGCACGTTCAGTGGAAAAGGCGCGAACTATTAAAATCCAATTAAAATGATGCGAGTAGCCATTAAGAATGAACGGTTAGTTAGACGAATGTGTAACGTATATACATGCTATTACAAATACATGTTTAGAATCATCATGTTTAGAGCTATGTTGTGTCTGTGTGAAAATCAATAGCATTGTGGGCCGACGGTTGCAACCCACTTCCTCAAACTGACTGCCAACTAGGAAACGAGTGGGATTATTTATCTCTTTTATATGTACTCAAGTATATAGTATTACCATTATATGGTATAACAGCTGAATAACTGTTTGTTTGGCAAAGTAGTGCTCGGTTTGCCAAGTTTATTGGCTAGTCATTAATTATTTGTTTTTTTTTTTTTTATTCTTAAATTTCATTATACCCATTGCTTACATGTGAGATTTTGACTTTGTGCAAATAACGGTAATTTGTGGTGGCGTACGGAAAGTGTATTGTTTTGACTATGATCATATTAATACGTATGTTAATATTGGAATAATTATGTAGAATATAGCAATATGCTTCCGCGTGCCAACTTATTTATGCATTTAATGGACATTTTATGACAAGTTTTTACAAAAACAACAGTAGTTAGAATTTTTCTCAATGAAGTAAAATGAAATATTATTCAATAAAAATAGGAAAAATGTTAACTTCGGCTACAGAACGTTCGAGAAAATCTTGAATGTGCACATCAAGACTGCACAATGGACATTATTGGTGAATAAACTGCTAAGGAACTCAGACGGCAGAGCCCTTAGATAGTGGCATATGCGGACAACATTGCCATTGTCTTAAAAACTGGTTGGTGTATTATGAGCACCACCTTCAATCACCAGTTGACCGAGATCTACTTACTTCGCATAATAATCCACTTTATTAGGTTGTCGAAAAAGTAATTTCGTATTCCTAATCAACATAATTTTTTTTATATTTATACTAATAAATAAATAGACAAATAAGTACCGTTTTAATCGACCACTTTTTGACATTTTACAGCGTCATCTCCGCAAACTTCACAAATTTCATTGTTGGCTTCCATGGCATTCTTACTTTTGTACCAAAATTTCAAAATATAGCGAATTTCTTCATTATTTTCACTCATTTTTGAACAGCTGTAACTTTTTTTCAACTTTCCCGAATTTAAATTTTTTTTTTTTTTTTTTTTTGTTAAATGAAGCTTAAAATCTCACCTTTCCAACACTAAATATGACACAATGTGATTGGTAGCACTGGAGACATACGTCCAACAGCATCGATTGACAAAATACGAAAAGAGTTTTTCGAATAAGAAGGCATACTACTGTGATAATATCATAGCACTTGGAAAAGTCTTCCATCACGCCTTACTCGATTCAACTTTTATATCTCTAATTGAGTCAAAACGGTGTTCTCGCAGTGCTCATGTGAATTTGTTGAATAGCCAGAAGTTACACGAAGGTAAATTAGCGAATGCGGTGATTGCGGCCCGATATTAGTTAAAAATGTGGCGAAATGATCACGAATAAGCATGGTGTAGTACATACATAGACAAACATAGTAAAAATTGAAGAAATCACTTACAGAACTTCCCAAACCGACGTGTATCTCAAATATTTGACATGAGTTTAGCATAGATATCACTAACAGTAGTAACAAGTTACAGAAAAAAAATTACCGATTCGAAAAACACGCGAAATATAAATTAAAAATGCGCCTTTAATTTTAATCACAGTAGTAACTTTGTCAAGCTCCCATAAACTAAACTTTTAGATTAGACCCAACCGAACTTAGCCAAAAATTTACTTCTAAACTAATGCCTTGTTCTTTGCTGATAATGTTTTAGAAAAATGTTACAACTACCTTGAAACATAGGCGTTGGGTTTAAAGTACCGCTATTGCTTGCTATTCTATTACCCCAAATATACTCGCCAACAAGTTCCGATGCAATTATTTTCCTGCAATTGCACAACTGCTGGCTGTCTATGAGACATTAGACACTCAATACAACTTTGTTGAAAAATTTTATACATGTTTGTTGTTTTTGCATTGAAAATCGGCAAGTCAAGCTGCGATAAATTGAGCTTTTCGGGCGTATAAGCTCACATTAATTACAAATTATTTTATTCTCTGTCCGCGATCGTATTTCGCATAAGCGGCGGCGCAAACATTTTTTCATATGGTTTTTAGCCATACTTTGGCAACTCCATGTGTGAATAATTGGAAAATTTGCATTTTTGGATTTAATAAAAAATTATATGACTTAAATGTCGAACACAAAGATAAAAAATGTTTGTAGTCGCGTTGCTAGATTTGTAAAAAAAAGTTATATGCTAATTTGCGCGCAATTTTTTGGCAATCAAATGAGTACGAGTACTTGGTGTGGCTTGCTGGCGTAGCTTTGCGTGTATTGAATTTTTTTTTTTTTTTTCTTTCCAAAAGTATTAGTCGTAATCTAGATGTAATGTGTAGAAACATTGTTATGTTTCTCGCTCGGGCTTTTTGAAGTTTTATATATATAAATATTTTTTTTCAATATTGTTACCAGTAGCCAACGTGTTTGCTCTGCTGTCAGTGTTTTGAGTGTTATATGCGCACACTCACAAGAATTTCGACGAGACCGATAAGCAGATTGCTGGACTTAATGAGCATAATAAAATAAAGTCAAAAATTTATTTCGATTATAAATGAAGTGAAAAATTAAGTAATTGGATTAGTGCTAATAACGCATGTCAAATATGGTAAAGAGTTATAAGAAGCACATATACTTGTACATATATGCATACATGTACACATACATACATATATTATATATATATACAATATATACATAACAATATTTCCACATTAGCAGCGATTTCAAGCTT